TAATAAAGGCGGGATTAAAAAAAAATAATATGGGGGTAGGATTGTTGGGAGTGGCAACCATGGGGCCATTTTGTTGGAAAATTCCACTGAGACCTGACATTTTTGCTTTCTCTGTTCCCTTATTATGAGCTCAGTGAAGGACCAGCAATCTGCCTTTTAGCATCTTCCCCCATCCTCTGCTTTCCCACATGTACAAACAACCTTAGAGAAACTCAAGCTGATTTGCATCCTGGGAAACCACTGATCCATGTGTGTGCTTGAGCAACCAAAGGCAGGGGGAGGAGAAAGGAGTTCATAATTAGAAAGAGATTGATGATTAGAGGCATTAAGGGCAGATTGTGGTTCCCATGGGGCAGCCTCTCCAATACTACCCACATTTTAGCTCTTTTCAAGTGAGAGTGCCCCCATTATTTCCTCTTGATTTCCCAGAGCCTTTATTTATTTCTTTGCCTCCTTGCATCTCCTTCCTTCCCACCCTCCCTCTTGTTTTATTTTATTTTCCCTCCCTGCTGTTTTTCTTGATGGAAATCTCACTGATGCGTTTCCCTTTTGGATTTGTCTTGAGTTAGTTGGCGCTCCCTCCCTCCCTCCCTCCCTCCCTCAGGCCCCTTTCCTTTTCTTTTCCCACTTGTCCCTTGGTAAGGCAGCCAGCTCCCTGCTGTGGCAGGAGGACAGAAGCACTTGCTTTTCCAGTGCCAACCTTTCCCACATCTGTGCAGCTATTGTCCTCCGCCGGAGGGGGATTTGGAATCATCAGCTGGCAGCAAGTAGCAGCTCTGAGGGACTGAATGTCAGAACGGGGGAGCTTATTTGGAGGCCCATAACACTGAATAAGTTCCATATTTCACGATTAACCTTTTTCTTCTTTACTTTCTTTTTGTTTCCCCTCTTCTTTTCTCTTTATCTTTAGACCGTCAGCCCTTGGGTAGGGCCTGTTCAGTCTTTAGTATCTTTAGGAGTTTATAAAGAATATAATAATGTTTGTTTATTGATTGTTACTGTTGTTATAAATTATTTGCTGGTTCCTCATTACCAAACTCAGAGGTCTGTAAAGACATAAAAGATTGGATTGCTATTCTTGATGGATTTTGACTGATTATGTGCCATCAAGTTGGTGTTGACTCTTAGTAACCACATAGAGATATTTTCCTCATTGCTGTTCTAGCTGGAATCAAGTCTACAGGGTCTCAGCAGTAGATCTACCTGAGTCTTTTAACCTGTCCTCTAACTGGAGAAGCTGAACCTGGAACTACTGCATACAAAGCATGTATTCCATCCCTAAGTTACCTCTTCCCCACAGTTGGTTCTCATATCACTTTCTTCCTACAAGGATATGTTGGAAAGGGGCCTGTACACCTTTGTTACCTGTACATAGTCTAAAGCAGGGGTACCCAAATCTTCAGCTCATCAGCCCCTGTGTGAAGTTTCAGATAATTCATCGACCTCCAAACATTAATTATATGAAAATAATTTAATAAATATTACTTTAACTAATAGTTCTACAAATAATAACAACAGCAACAAGAACAATAATGGATAGTTCCATCGACCCTTGGGGGTCAATACTGACCATTTTGGGGAACCTTGGTCTAAAGCAAAATTGGGGCACAACTTTCACTGGGTGAGAAAGGAAGTGAAATTCTTCCCCATGCCTCTGAATTTGAATCCAGAGTGATGGAGTAAAAATATCTTATACACTTATACACATATGAGCAGTAGAGGTTCATAGGTTTAGCTTACTGTGAGTGAATATCCTCTCTTTCATTATGTCACCATCTCTTCATCATTCTGCAGCTTCCCATAATTCTATTCAGTCTCAAGAGGGCTGTTCCAGATTGGGAAGTATGGGCAGTGAAGAATCATTATAGAAGTTGTAGAGAAAAACATTCACTGTTGCGTCCTCAGCCATCTCCACTAATAAAGTAGGCTCAAAAACACCCTGAAAGAAACATTAACGCACTCTGAGGATGAGCTAAAAACCAAAACCAAAACAAAATAGTCTTTCATACAGGAAGAAAACTTCTGGAGGAGTGGGAAACAGATTTCACCATCCAGTAGAAAACAAGAGCATCATCTCTCTTACTTTCTTTCGTAGGTCCTTCTGAGTTACTGGATATGACAGATATCGAAACGTAAGTCTTGCTCACTCAGCTTCTCTTTTGATGTTTTCATTCCAGCTTACTTTTAGTTGCATATACAATCAAAGCAGTGTCATGTAAGATTAAACATAAAATAACAATTTAATGTGTTAATTTACACAAATTCAGCCAGTCCATTTCTAGTAAATAATATATTTTATCCCTTTTAAAACTCACAAAGTTCTAAAATCTACAGTTCTATTCTGAAATCCCTCTCGTAAGTTATTGGGGTCCTTTCTACTAAATCCAAAGTGGTTACTCTGAGTGCAGTATTAGATAGATGAATGCTTGCAAGGATTAGGGTTTTTGTTTCAATTTCCCCTCTAAGTCTAAAATAGAAAGGAATAAAACTTTCAGCTCTAGCCAGCATGGCCAGTGGTAATGAAAGCTGAACTTCAAATTAATACTGGGTCAAATCCAAGTCTCTTTTTCAGTTTAAAAAACTTTTAAATTTGTGTAATCCTTTGCGGTGGTCTCTTCTGTCCTTTCCGTGCAACTTATTCTGCCTCAGAATGATCATCTGACTCTGCAGTATTGATCAGTTACCTTTCTTTCTTTCTTTCTTTCTTTCTTTCTTTCTTTCTTTCTTTCTTTCTTTCTTT